GATAAGTGCAAAGTCCTGCACCTCAGAAAAAGAAACCAATTGCACAATTACAAGATGGGGGATACCTAGCTCAGCAAAACGAGTGAGAAGGCTCTTGGAGTCGTTGTAGATCACAAAGTAAATATGAGCCAACAGTGTGAGGTGGCTACAAAAAAGGCCAATGCTATTTTAGGCTGCATTAATAGAAGTATAGTCTCCAAGTCCTATGAGGTACTGGTTTCCCCCTATTCGGCATTGGTTAGGCCTCATCTTAAGTACTTTGTCTAGTACTGTACTGGAAATCGCACTTCAAGAAGGACGCTGACAAATTCAAATAAGTTCAGAAGAGGGCGTCCAGGATGATCAGGGGACTGGAAAACAAGCCCTATGAGGAAAGACTGGAAAAACAGGGCATGTTTAGCCTTGAGAAAAGAAGACTGAGGGGTGATACGGTAGCACTTTCCAAATACTGTATTTGAAAGTCTGTCATACAGAGGAGGGGCAAGATCTGTTCTCACTCATCCCAGAATGCAGGACACGCGACAATCGGCTCAAGTTAAAGGAAGCCAGATTTCAGTTGAATATCAGGAAAAACATTCTGTTAAAGCAGTATCACAGTGGAACCAGTTACCTCGGGAGTTGGTGAGTGCTCCAACACTGGAGGCATTCAAGAAAAACCTAGATACACCTGGCAGTTATGCTTTGTATTCCTGCATTGAGTAGGGGGTTGGACTTGATGGCCTTGTACACCCCTTCCAACTTTTCTATGATTCTCTTGGGGGAATGCTAGGACTGTTCGGCTTACACAAGGTTATGTAGGCAGACAGTTCTTTCTGGGGACTATATGCTATAATGAGTGGAATGTATTATGCACCTACCAAATTATTAAGACTATATGGCCAAATATCAAGGAAACTGTTCTAAAATTAGTTTGTAAGTGCCATTAACCCCTATAAGATGGTATTATATCAATAGCAGTCTCTCACCATTGTGCTGGAGGAGCTGTCAAGTGTATGGAAGTCTATTACACGTTTGGTGGAACATCCATCGATCTAGGAATTGTGTTCCCAAGTATTCAGAATCACCATCTTAGACATAACAAAACAAAAACTCCAAATCCACAGTCAGCTTTATTAAATTTTGCAATTTAACTACTTTCATAAAGACAGTAATGTTAACAACAGTGAAAACAAGTAACATGACACTAGAAAATGACTTCAGGCTACACATGTGTTTTGGATATGCTAGCAAAAAAATTAACAGTTTACAGTCTGATAATCAGGAACAACTAAGCAACTGGTTTGTTTTTACGAGCATTGTAAACACTGCAGACTCAGGCCTGGTACCTCCTAAACAGAATTCCTAGTGGACAGGAATTATAAGAACTACAAAGGTAGTTTGTGAACAATAGAAATTAAGACACTGAGTTGACTGTTATACTTCTGTTTTGTATCCCTATATTTCTGTTTTGTGACTGTGTTCATTAAATACTTAATTAAAAGTATTCATCACAAAGCACACAGACCAACAGAAGGGTTTAAGAGGCAATCCTAGGAGCAAGAAAGAAGATAAGACAAGGCTTTCTCTTCTCAAAAGCTCTGCTTTATCTAAAGCCCTGCTGGACTCTTACTAATGCTGCTGCATTGAAAGAACTGATATAGTATTTAACTCCCTTTCTCTTTGTGGCATTTATTCTTCACATTTGCAAGAAGAAAACCCAAACCATCCCAATGGAAGCAATGAGTAGGAAAGAAGTTATGGACACTCTGCATTTCTACACTGGAACTTTTGGTGCAGTCTAAATAGGGACACTTGAGGTCAGGGGGGAGGAGCAATGTGCTATTTGGTGCTATCCTTGCATCCAAATGGCATATTGACTGCAAGTGACTCTCCAGCCCCCTCGACTGTCAATTGAACAGTTCCTCTGCTCTTTTGTGGAGGGGCCAAAGAAGTGAAATTATTATTTTTGTCTGTGCTAGGCCATTACTGATGCACTGAATCACTAACTTAACTTTTTAACTTTTTATTTGCCTTGTGTGTGGTACTGATCGAGAAACTGTCCATAGCTGTAATTTCAATCAAAAATTCATTAAAAGACAAAGAAATCTTTTTGTTTCAATTTAATCTGATTCTCTGATGGTCTGACAGTGACAAAAATATATAATTTCACTTCCACTGCTCCTTTACAGAGGAGAATGGGAAATGTTCAGTTGGCCAGTATCCTGAAGTGGCTACTTTATTAAACTAGTCCATGGTATTGGAAATTCAAACCAGAAGAAGTCTGACAGCTTTGGCATCTGCAAGGCTTGATTTTAAACTAGACCACACCAACCCACACCAAAAAAGTAGAAACCCCTGAAGGGCTCAGAAAGGTGTGGGTTGTGGGTGACCAATTTGACCCATTCTCTAGGGTCAAATTGGTCAGCTTCTTGTGTGTTTACCGGGAAAAATAGTAAACCAATCTGCCCTTGCCATATACCAAACAAATGCCCATTTGAACAAGCCCTTTGAAATGTGTCTGAATTTAATTCTATGTTGGGCATTGCCTTGAGGGCTGAAAAGTATTTGCATCCAGAAGATTCAGGTTCTCTTCACCGTCCCTCACCCATGGCCACTTTTCCAGCAGTCCTGTTTGTCCATCTCCATTGTTGGAGTTCTGCTACAGAAAGGGCTGTTGTGGACGTAAGGTTGGAGCATCACAAAACATTGGCAAAGATCTTGGAGAGGAACTATATCCTGTAGCTTTTGGGTTGCATTCCCAAGAGCACAAGATTGTATGCAGTCTTACATCATTTTTTTTCTTTATTACATTATGTAAAGCAATGGATGGGGAGATAGAAGCACTGAAATCAACACAGTAGTCAATAAACATGAGAACAATTAGGTGAGATTGAAGAGATGGGTCTTCATATCCTTCCAAAAAGCAGTGAGAGTCTGAACTGTTTGCAGCTCTGAGGGACTGCATTTTCCTTCATAAAGCAGCCTTCTTTCTGCCCATCAAGCAGGAATCCACAAGTGACAGCATTATTTTGAAGACTCTGATATCCAGATAGATTCACCACATGATAGGTGGTCCTTCAGATAGGTGGGCCCCAATCACTTCAGGTTCTAACGGTTCAAATCATCACATTGAATCGAACCTGGAGAGCAAAGATAACCAGTACAAGTTCTTTCAGTATTGGAATAAAGTAACCTTAATATCATATGTCAGTTAATAGTTTAGCCACTGCCCGTGTACAATGTACTGCAGTAGTCAAAATGTGATATAACTAACAAATGAAGAGAGCCCTAGTATGGAAGCAGCCCAGTTTTCGGTTTTAGTTGAGGCACATAAACCAACCACAAGAGGGCGTGAAGACACCTCATCCTATTATGTAGGAAAAACATAATAAGACAGTGGTAATAAATAAAGTATTTCATAAGTAAAGTATTCCAGGCTAATCTCATTCAGGCAAAAGGAATAGAAGGGGAGTATTCCAAAGCAGACATACAAAAGCAACACAACTGCTGACTTACCTTAAGAAACAGAGTCAAATGCTGCATTGAGGAAAACACCAGGCGTTCCTATATCACTAAAAGGCAATGCAAACCAATGATTATTATTCCAGTGAAGCCTAATTCCCCAAGGAACTCTGTGCTGCTATAAACCAGAGGATCTCAGAATTCATTTAATTCACAAAATGTGCTTCTAGTCCTCATTTGCTGACTTCCACTTAAAAATACAAACATAACGAAAACCAGCCTGTTAATATATCTAATCTCAAGACTGCAGCATTAAGTTAACTGGCTTTCCAAAAACTTAACTATTGGTGGGAGCATCTGAAAAAAAGTGAACATTCAGAGAGGCAAGTGTGAACTCGGATGTGACATTTTTCAGGTTGCAGTTTCAGCTACAAGAAATAGTCATAGCAACCAGCAAAAGAAATCCATGGGGCAGTCAGAGCACTAAGCGGCTGATCCTGCTTGTATGAGAGGCCAGATACCATTTGCTTACCTTAAATAGGAATTTTGGTTAGCTAAAGTCACCACAAATGATTGATTATCCTTCACCTATGGTAACATACAAATTAAACACCAGCCCACAAGTGCTTGGGCTTCCTCAACCCAGCCTATTGTACATGAGCTTCTTGATGTGAAATGAGCAACCTTGGGTTCTCCAACATGGATGCAACGGCACTTTTGTCTAAAGTAAATATGCTGCTGATGGTTCTACATAACTGTTTTAAAAACTTGAGTGTTCATGAATGGCACCTCTGCTTCTCTGTGCCTGTGTTCATCTTCATTTTTCAGAACCAGTTTCTTGTATCACAGCCAAACTATTCAGAGGTGGGAAATGTTCTTTTTAATTACTAAAAAAACTATTTCCTTCCACTTTCTGCAGTATTACAAATTATTAGTACCTGGTGTTACTCAGAAGTTTTCTTCTTTCCTCTGATTGCAGTGTGATTTTCAATTGAATAAAGGAGGGAAAAAGAGATCCAGTTACTATCATTTATGAATGTAAAAAACAGATAAAATACATAGCCATGATTCTGACAGGAATGGTTATACTGTATCACATTAGTACAGTATGCCATTCTTGTCCCCCAAAGGTATTTCTCCTTCACATAAAACTAGTGAGATGGGTTAAACCAAGAATTTTTGTGAACCAGACTTGTCTAGTGAGCTTCCCACTACGTTAGATACAGAAATATCTATTTAAACAATGGTCTGAATCAAATTATGTTTCTTAATTAAAGTAGACCCATTGAATCACTAGAATTTACATATGTGTTGACTCACCATTCACCAGCTGATTCAAGGGGATCTTCTCTAGGTGGAAATAGTAATTGGATTTAGTCTAATGCTGTGGCCATCTTGATTACGAAAAGCTCTTGGCTGCCAGACCTGGAATGGGTCATGATTTCTGGATGAACCTAATCTTAGGCCCTGGTCACATGAGGGAAATGTTTGGTAGTTCTTCCAATGCTTTTCATACCTCTGTGGTACTGAATCGTGGTCATGTGGTTTATATCCTGGGACAAATGTCCCAAGAACTTTTAGTGGTAACGATTTATTTCCTCCTATTCGAATTGTTAAGGCTGGCTACACCATGGTACTGGTTTATTTCCTCTCTTCAAGGGGCAATCTAACCCTTTGATTTCTATATAGCTTAAAAATATTTATCAATACAGCGATATATCAGGAACAAGGTGTGTGACAGTGTGAGCACTTATGACTCCACACACACAACCCGCACATCTTTCCCCCATGCACCACCCACAGCCATAGTTTCCAGCCCCTTTCATTCTGGTCTCAACAGAAACCTGGGCAGAGGAGGGCAGTCTTACGTGCACAATGGGGCAGACTTGTGCATGGGGGGCGAGGTGGAGCCCTGCCCAGTGGGACTGAAAATTAGAGGAAACATTGATCAGGAGGGGATTTCAGTTTAGGAAAGTGTCCCTCTATTCCACTGGCTGCTCCTACAGAAATGTATTGCACACAGAGGACATGGGATATCCATGTGGCAGGACTGGCAATCACTCCCCTGGTGATACTAGCATACCAACAGTTCAATGTATCTTCCCATAGAAATAAAAATATATTATTACGTGGCAGTAATGTAATGGTGGCAGCCCCCCCCCATGACATAATCAGTTTCATTGCCTGTGGGCCAGGGAAGCATCTGGATGGAAAGAGATGTCTAACAGCCAATAAACCAGCCCTGCCAGTAAGGTCATCATTTTGGCCAGTATGCGTACCTCTTTTGCTGAAGCGCTTGATTGCCAGAGCTATCAAACCACCAAAGAACACAAGGGCAATAATTGATGCTGCAGCACCACCAGTATAAAGCAAGACTTGCTTGAAGTAAGGGGCAGCAGTTGCTGAAATTAATGGCAAATCCATATGTTAGAGACAAAGCAAGTCAACTAGCAGCTAGGTTTTCTATTCCTGTAGTCCAGGGGCCCCCACTCCCGGTCCGCCCGCCCGCACAGTGGGCATGTCACGCTCACACAGGTGTGTGTTATGCAGGGGGCATGTAGTGCTCGCACGGGGTGCCCCCACCCTCCCACGCACAGAGCCTGCCACCCCAAGCAGTCCATGGTCCCCAAAAGGTTGGGGTAGTCTATTCTTCTTCTATTCGTCCACTCTGCTATTCTAGCATTAACCATTTTTCCAGGTCTCCAGGGCATTTTGATGGGTAAAATGTAAAGCTGCACCTATTCAGAATCACTTTCTATGCAAATGCAAGGCCTGCTTTAACTGGGATACTCATTCACGTTACAACACTACACACTACAAGACGCAATCTGTATGGAAGACCATACTATGTAATCTTTATAAAGGAGGCAATGTTCATAGGCTAGTTTTCTGATTATCAGACTTATCCCATTCCTGTTAACTGCATCAAAGAACAGATCTCAGACTTTAAAAAAGGTGTGTCTACACTGTGTTACACTTCACAATTTGCCCTGAAGCTTGCAGGTTTGAAATCAATTCATTTTTTTGTGACTGCATGATGTACAGCTAATTGTGTGGAAGCCTATACTTTTTCTGGTGCCATTTGCATTTTTTCAAACATATAACAGGAAGTTATTTATTTTGTACTGATTCCCCTTGCATCATCCCCCCCCCCAATTTCTTCTGGTATATGCAACTGCTTGTCTTGGGTCAAAAGTGGGCAGCCGCAGCCATGTCCTAGGGTGATGTTGACACTGACCTATTAAAGTGGGGTGCAGTATGCTACTACAGCAGGTAGAATGCCTGTTGTATTTCCTGCTGACAATTTTTATTGTTCCTTTTCCTTCTGAAATATATCTTTGACCTTTAGCCTGTGGCACATAAGAGCTGCAGTACTGCCTTGTTTGTTTTCTTTGCTCAGTCACTTTGCTATAAGATATTCCACAAGGATAATTTGCCCTATAACAATGTTTGCCTTGGTCCTGTTACAATGGCTATCTTTTTACTTTTAATGGCACAGCACCTATCTCTGCTCTATACTGGGAAGTCCAATGTTCTCCAATATATGTTATCCAGGGTTTTTTAAAAAATGTCTCTTGGTCATCAACATGCTGGTCCTTTTCTTTAAAAGGGAGGATGAATACCTTGACAAACAGGCATGTCTTCAGACCACTGTCCATTTGGTTGGCACTCTGCACGATTTGTTCCATTGAGAATGTAGCCCTCTGCACAACGAAAGTGACAGGCTGACTTATAGCTGAAGGAACCCCAGGGATCGAAGCAGTCTATCTGCATGCTCTCCATATTCTGCAGCTGGGAGCACTTTATGGCTATGGGGAAGAGGCAAGTGGAGAAAAATGAAGAAATGTGAGATCCAAACTTGTTCAACACCTTGCATTAAAGTAATGTTGTGGAATTGCTAACACAGCTTTGAAATAACTGGATCCATGGATTAATAAAGCTTGAATGATAGATTCACCCTTGTCTTTCCAGGTCACATAAATAAGGGAATTATCTCTGTTAGGGTGAGTTCACTGTTCTGCTGAGAACTTAATTGGTTTATTAGTGAAATAATCTACATTTCTACTCAAATGAATTCATAGAGGTGGGCACAAACTGGAAAACTGGTGGTACATGATGGTTTGTGGCCAACTGCGACCCCCTGCAAAGATACATTGGACTGCAAAAAATGTGGTTCATTTTTCTGGCTCATGCTGGAGGGGGGCTGCCTGCTCCTGCTGCCTCCACCACCATCTCTACCACAATTGTGGGCACATGCTCAGAGGCAGCGGCAGGCTTGAAGCTGGGTGCTGCCTCTGCGCATGACCCTGACTATTAGCTGGACGCAGCAACTGTCTGTGGGGAGCCAGGCTGCTGCCCACTTGAGAGGGATGTGGATGCTCAGAAGCAGCTCCTGGCAGGGAAGCTGGGCCCACCGCCTCTGAGGATCGCACCTGTGGGGGTGGCGGCGGTGGAGGCTGCAGGAGCAGGTAGGCGGAGGCGACAGGGGCAGTGGGAAGGGGGAGGGAGAGCATCCTCTTTTGCTGAAGGGGAAAACATTAGGCTTTTTGTTTTGCTTTGGCAAAATGGGATCCCCAGAGCGGATCATGAAATGAATCATGGATCTTCCCAGTTTGTGGAGTTTTTTGGTACGTGGTTCATTTTGTGGTCTTCCATAGGTGGAATGTCACTGCAGGAAAATCCTGCTCCCTCTTAGATGTTCACTTTACTTCAGAGGATAGAGATCCGTGGGTGACAGATCTGGCAGAGAATCCTGAGACATCATCCAGATTAGGCACTCCATCATGTATGTACATGAACAGTGAACTTGTGTGGGTGGACCTAGAAAAAAATAACTCTCCCCTCACAGTCAAGTGGGTATGCAAATTGCACCTAGAAACATCTAGGCTTACTTCAGAGGATAGAGATCTGTGGATGACAGATCTGGCAGAGACTCCTGAGACATCATCCAGATCAATGATGGATTAGGCACTCCATCATGTACAGTATGTACATGAACAGTGAAATTGTGTGGGATGGACCTTGAAAAAAAACTCTCCCATCACAGTCAAGTGAGTATGCAAATTGCACCTAGAAACATCTAGGAGTTCCTTGTCCAGTAATGTCATGTATCCATATAATTTCTGCTGTGCCTTTCTATTGGTAATTCCCTTCAAGGTGATTACAACTCTGACCTTCACAGGAGGGTGCAAGTCCTGACCACTCTCCTCGGGCCGTACAATTAAGCATCTCTGCGCCAACTCTCACAAAACCTGTATCACAGGAGAACATGCAGCTGGAGTTGTATCTGAAGGTTCCAAAAGGATGAGAGCAGTTTAACTGGCCATTCGCTGGAGCGCGTAGCGTCAAGCACTGAGCAGCTGGAGGAGGAGAAGAGACGTGAGAGGAAAGCCTTGGAATAGATGCAGAGGCTAAAGTACAGAAGGAGAAGAAAATACTCAGGAGTCCATTCCTTAATGTGGAGGGAGGGGATTATGAAGGCCATGTGTGGCTGATTCCTAAACAGAGAGCAAAGCACAGCTACAGGAACAAGGATTAAATGGGCCTGAACAATACGTGTGTACAGAAGTAGAAGAAAATACTCAGGAGTCCATTCCTTAATGCAGAGGGAGGGGATTATGAAGGCCATATGTGGCTGATTCCTAAACAGAGAGCAAAGCACAGCTACAGGAACAAGGATTAAATGGGCCTGAACAATACGTGCTCAGCAAACTGCTGTAGTAAGACTATAGGTGTGAATAGGCCTAGTAGATTTTTGCTTTTCTGCCCCCTTGATATCTACAAAAACTGAAAAGACCATTGGGGTGTTAAATTTGACAGTAAAAGTAAAGCATACTAAATGCAGTTAACCCATCCCCCCCCCCGAGGAACATAATTTCTACAGCGATATGTGTCGTAACAAATAGACTTCCAAATTAAGCTTTTTAGTGACTAATCATAAACAAAGCATGCTGCAATGCAAAAAATATGGAGGCGAGGCGAAGGAAATACTATAACAGACAGATATCTTTGACTACTTAAGGGAACATTGCTTTGAAATATGAGTTGAGTATATAATCTAGTATGAACCTCAGCTGGCCTCTGCTTTTAAGTACGTGTAGGCATATGTAGAAGTATAACCCACATCCAAATGCAGCTACTGCCTACTATTTGCAGTTTCCACGCCCATCTCTTAGCTGGCTTACCCAAGTGAAACAGATAGACCATGGTATGAGATAATCTTCTGCTGTGATAGAAATATAGTGAGCCAACTCTGAGACATAAAATCCTTGGTCCATTCTGCTTTCTTTTACCTACCTTCACAGGTGGGTATTTCTCCTTTCCAATTTCCCTGCTCTGTGCACTTGAGCTTTTCTGATCCAGCTAACTCAAAACCAGAGTTGCAGGAGAAAATACAGCTGGAAGAATAGGCAAAGAGTCCATGGGGATGAGAGCAGTTTGCTTTGCCATTATCTAGTATTTCTAGACCAGGACACTGGACAGCTAGAAAAGAGAAGAAAGAGGAAATGCTGAATCTAAACAAGATTACTTGCTTGATTTTTTTAAAATAAAATTAACTTCTCTGCCTATTGGCTGCAACAGATATCATACGATAAAAATACACTGTAATAAAAGAAGAATACATTGAGACAGAGAGTAGAAACAGCCAGAGCATTTGTAACAATAAAATCAGAATCTATCACTGAAATGTAAAAATGAAAAATCTGGCAGATTCTTGTGTGGCAGTATGGCTTTTGAAGAATAGCAGCCATAATTCAATTGTATAGTTATGCTGGTAATTCAATGGCACAATTCAGAGCAGTGAGTGTCACTAAGAAATTAATCCTTATATTAATTCCTAGTCTCCCACCAGCTCATAATTCTGCACATGACTAAGGGTATGGCTACACTAGCAGCAGAGAACGAGCTAGTGTGGGTCATTTGGGAACGATTCAGCTTGATTAGCATGATCTAATCAAGCCTGACTGTTCACACAGAAATGGCTCCTACCATTATCGTGAAGTGGCTTAATAAGCCAGGCACCTCAGGATATTGGCAAGTTAATCACTTCCTCTGCTCGGGTGAAAGGGCAAGAGAAGTGGGGGAGGTTAACTGTATAGTATAGACAATTGCTGATGTGCTGCATTAGTTAAAAAAATTTTAAAAAATTAATTTGCCTTCTCTTAAAGGGCTGTTCAATGAACTGCCTGCAGACAAAGCCACTTCCTTGGATTCAACTGCCAGAGGTTTCTTGACTGCCCTTTAAGACAAGAAAAGGAATTTTATATATAAGGATGGAATGCATCACTGATACAGACAAAAATCAGAGCGATCCTTCCCACACCAGAAAAGTATAAGCCCCTTGAAAGGAGCCATAAAGGTGTGGGTAGGAACACTCATAGGGTGGGCTGGTGCCTCTAGCAAATATGTCATTTGATCGCCGTCTTTAAGAGGACACCAGCCTATTCCTCAGTGTTCCAAACAGCAGGCTAAACAAGCTGTGCAATCAGTCTCTAAAAATTCAATTGTGGAGTTGTTAATTAGTGGTTATTCACAAGATTTTCTAGAGGAAAAGAGGAAGTGGAAGTGGGTGTTGTAAAGAGGAATTTACAATTTAGAGTGTATGGTTTTAAGCTTTAAATGTGCTACCCTGAAGATGATCTGTGCTTCTGCCCAGAGTCATGATTTATGCTCTTCAATTAATCATTGAAATGCATTTTTAAATAAAACTTTGAGACAAGTGAAGATAAGCTGTGTCACAAATTCAGGTTCTCTTTGAACCAATCTTCAGAGTTTCCTAACCATTTACAAGACTTCCATTTGTTTTCTGTTTGGCAAAATCCAGGTAGTCACTTTAGCTATAATTTCTCTATGCATTTCAGGAAATTATATTTAGCACCAACCTTCACAATGTGGTGGTTGTTCAGTCCAGTTTCCTAGAGCTGAGCATTCAAGCAGCTCCAGTCCAAGAAGCTGAAAACCAACATTGCAGGAAAAGTTGCAGCTGGAGCCGTACGCAAAGTTTGCATGAGGGTGGAAACAGCTGTAATGGCCATTGTCAGGCTTATGCAGTGCTGGACACCTGGCAGCTGAAGCAGAATAAAAAAGTTGACTGTATAATCCACTGAGGAGCAACTCTACCTCAAGTATCGCACAGTAAAATGTGTCACAAGGTGGTACCTCCATGAAGGGAGAATGGAGGACATTTATTCCACAGAAATAGCTCTTAATGCCTCTGAAAGAAAAGAAAAAAACCTCCCTTCCCCACCAAAACTGTCAGGCACAGTTCCCATTCGCACTAGATGCAGCTGAAGGTCCTTTTAACTGGACAGGCCAGGGACTGAAAAATATGCTCTACCACAATGAGTATTGGCTCCTCCCAATACCTTCTTTACAAAAGAGGACCACTCCCATCACTTAAAAAAACAAGGACAGGTAAAGTGTCAACCTGCATCATGTTTATTCTAGGCACTCTTGAGTAAGCAAATAAAAATGCTGATTGACCCATCATGGTGTCTTTACTGCCCAATGAAGGCATTGGATACATTTACTTTTTTTTCTGCCAGTTCACTGTGGAGTGGATGTGGGCATAAGCAATCGAGTGTCTTGCCAGTGGAGTATCCACTCAAGTGGATTGTACAAAGCTGACGGGACTTAGAGTACATTCCTGTAAGCAGGCTGTACCTCTCTGTTGTTGTTGTTTAGTTGTTTAGTCATGTCCTACTCTTTGTGACCCATTAGACCAGAGCACGCCAGGCCCTCCTGTCTTCCACTGCCTCCCAGAGGTGGGTCAAAGTCATGTTGGTCCCTACTGGAAAAACCATAGGTTGGATTATGCTGACTTTTGTCAGCAAGGTGATGTCTCTGCTTTGTAAGATGCTGTCAAGGTTTGTCATCGCTTTCCTCCCAAGAAGCAGGCATCTTTTAATTTTGTGGCTGCTGTCACCATCTGCAGTGATCATGGAGCCCAAGAAAGTCAACTCTGTCACTGGCTCCATATCTTCCCCTTCTATTTGCCAGGAGGTGATGGGAACAGTGGCCATGATCTTAGGGTTGTTTTTTTTATGTTGAGCTTCAGACCATTTTTTGCACTCTCCTCTTTCACCCTTAAAGAGGTTCTTTAATTCCTCCTCACTTTCTGCCATCAGAGTTGTATCATCTGCATATCTGAGGTTGCTGATATTTCTTCCGGCAATCTTAATTCTGTTTTGGGATTCCTCCAGTCCGGCCTTTCGCATGATGTATTCTGCATTACTGTTTTTAGTGTGGTTTGATCCTTCTAATATTGTCTTTTAATGACATAAACCACCTTGGGTCCTTCTTCAGGAGAAAAGTGGGGTAAAAATATTTTAAATAAAGAAAATATATAACTATCAGCTTATATGGACATCAGACGACGTATATTGCAACATCAGGTTATTTACATCAAATCTGTAAGATGGATCAGACACATTTGGCCAAAACTTTGAACACTGAATTCTTCTGACACCAACCTTTGCAAAAGGGTGGTCTCTCAGTCCACAGTCCCAGGGAAGTGCAGTGAAGCTGCTCAGCTCCAACTTGGACAAAGCCCTGATGGCAGACGAAGGCACAGCTAGAGCTATAGGCGAAGTCTCCATATGGATGAGAGCAATTTATTCCCCCATTCTTAGGGGCATCCAGTTTTGAACACTCGATAACTAGAATGAGAAAAGGATTCTGGTGAAAGAAGGCATGATTTGCAGAGAGCTGGAATTCTCCAGCCCATAGAATGGGGCAAGTCCAAGCACAAAGAGAATGCTGTTTTGAATGAAGACACTGGAGGCACCTATGGTACCCCTGTGGTGGTTAAGTTACAGACGACCAGCCTTCTGTGAGCCAGATCGGCGCTATGAGAGGAGCTGCCACTCCTCACAAAAAGGCATCAGAAAGAAAGGCCCTTACCCTGGCATGTAGGCAATGGAGCACTCCAGTTCCCAGTTGCTAAGCAGTGGGTTGCCTTTGTGCCCACCAAGGCAAATCCAGGCTCACAGGCAAACTCACAGCTGGATTGGTAGGCAAACTCTCCAGCTGGATGAGAGCAGATCATCCTCCCTTCCTTAGGGCTCCGCAGACCTTGGCATTGCATGGCTGAAGGTGAAAAGTTCCGTTTTTATGAACAATTCTCAGCGCAGCGCCACTTCATTCTGCATTTCCCACAAACAGCAGCCAATAAAGTGGTCTCTGTTCTCTAGTGCCTTGCCTTGTACGGTGAACTCACCTTCACAAAATGGTGCTTTTTCTGTCCATATTCCTAGGGCTGTGCACTGAAGCTGCTCCGCTCCAACCTGTACAAAGCCCTTCCTGCAGGAGAAGGCACAGCTGGAAGTATATGCAAAATTGCCGTACGGATGTGAGCAGTTTAATTCTCCATTCCTAGGAGCATCCAGCTTTGGGCAATCAATAGCTAGAATGGGAGAGGAACCAAAACAAAAACAAAACAAAACACTGGTTAATGAAGTCAAGGTTTATATTCAGCCCATGTGCACTTTCTCACCCACTGTAAGGGGTCCAGGTACAAAGTTAACCTACTCTGCATCCCTAAGAAATGGCAGGTGGGGGGGAGGTGTTTCTAGTCTTAAGGATGTATAGGTGGGGCTTGAATTTTCTCATAGGCAAATGCTTCTTAAAGCATTTTGATGATTCCCTCTGGCTGTATGTTTGATGTGCAGGTTTAAATGTTCTTGAACCACTGCATCTAAAATACTTGATATCAATTAAGCTGACGGGCTTCATAACCATATTTCAGCTTTCCTACAACTTTTCTGTCACATCCATTTGTTAGCCTGTGTTCTCTTTGATGAATATTCTCAATTCTTTGTGCATTCTTCTCTGCACAGAATTGCACTCCCACTAGAACATATCTTTTCTCAGGATGGGGTTGCAAAAATCCCATGATAGCTAAATTCCCCCAGATGTATAGTGCGCACCAGTACTTAAGCATTTGTCTCCTTTGCAGAACATATAACACCGTGATGCTAGTTCTGAAAAAACTAAAATACTTTTCAGAACAATTCTGGGCAGATTTTATGTTTCACTATAGTTACCCTGGAATGGTCCTCTACCACAGCAATGATATCAGGCAGAAAAAGAAAGAAAACTAAAAAATAAAGAAGACAAAAACATCGTGGCACTTTAAAGATTAGCAGCTATATTTCAATGTGAGCTTTCGTGGACAAGTCCACTTCCTCAAACTTTGATTTCAAAGCAGCTGTTGTAGGACTTGTAGCATGACTGCAGCTGATGACATCATCCACATTGTGCAGCGCAATTCCACCAACAGGATTTCAACCATAGTGGCTAAGAAGCTCCACCTGCCTTTTAATCCCATAGGTGCACACTGGGATCCCCACTCTCGTGCATGCCCCCCTACCCATGTGCATGCATGCCCCCCTACACATGCATGCACAGGTGCCCTGCCTACCCACGCATGGACACATATCCCAACCAGTCAATGGTTTGGAAAAGGTTGGGGAGCACTGCTATAGAGAATACAGATTGGTCATTGCTGTCAAAGTAATTATTCTCTAATCTCTTTCACAATTCCATAAATCACACATTAGTTCACTATTGTTTGGTGATGATTAGTCACCAGGACTCTGCATATTGCAAGGGACTCTGCATACTGGTTGTGGAAATACAGAAGATGCTTCTCTGCAGCAATAATGTTTTATTGCCTTCTTATTCTTCCTAATTGCAAATATGCTCATGTGGTTTGTTTGGGCCCGTTGCATCTTTAATCACTACTGCTATGACTAATACATAGCATTTCTCTTACAGGCATCTGAAGGAATCACTTCAAGATATCACCAAAGGTCATCCATCCATTCATTCATTTGCACAGATTGGTGAAAGACCTCTGGGTGACAAATTGTGTGATTTTACTTGCATACATACTTTCATTTTACAAATCTGATTGCTGGGACACATCAAGAACCAGAGATGTTGCAATGGCTGGCCTGATGAAGAGTTTGCCCTTTTCTTTTCTTTTAAATATTTCTGTGGCCATCTCTGTTTTCTAATCAAACTTGTAGCCCCCATGGATACATTTTTAAAGTGTAATGTATAATGGGATTCAGATGAAGAAGAAATGAAAATTGGTGGAGAAAATACCAATAATACATACAGGTGATACCAATTACTAACAGAAAACAATGACTTGAAATTATTACTCATAAAGTAAAATACAAAAGCAAAATAATAGCTAAACTAATAAGCATAATTAATATGGAAGAACTATATAATTAATACATTCTTAAATATTTTATATCTAAGTTGAAGCATTAACTAAAACAGAAGCTGCAGCTAAGAAATTTTAAAAATGTAACTTGGAAAGGCAGCCATGAAACTAATAAAGAGCCTTAAATTTAACATTCAAACTGCCCACCAGTATGCAAGCTGGACCCTGAGCAAAGCTTACAAGAAAAAAACTGATTTATTTGAAATGTGGTATTTATTGGAGGAGAGCTTTACAGATAACATGGGATGCCAGAAATACAAATGAGTTCTAGGTGGGTTTAATAGAAACCAAAATGATTAAACTTGAGGCTATTATACTTTGAACACACCATGAGACAATGAGACTGAAAAAGATGACAATGCTTTGCCAGAAGGCAAAGTGGTAGGCAATAAGAGAAGAGAAAGTTCTAACATGACATGAATTGACTCAGTAAAAGATGCCATAACATTTGATTTACAAAATCTGAGCAGGGCTCTTAAAGATAGGACCTTTCAAAAATCACTAATGCATTGGGTTGCCATAGTTTGGAAATGACAACATATAGGCCTCCATGGTCGTCCACTTCTTCTCTCATGGATTTCTGTCTGGCATACAACTTGTGCGTGTGTGGGGAGGTTCTAAAACAAAACAAAACCAAAAACACCAAACCTTGACAAAATGGGACGGGTGCTGTCCATTCTCCTTGTGACGTACACTGAGTCACTTCTTCTCCAATTAACAGGAAACCATCAGTACAGTGAAAAGTGCAGTTTGACTGGTACTGAAACTCTCCATGGAGATGGAAACAGGTGCTATTTCCATGAGCTGGAGCTAGAAGACGTTGACACTGTACAGCTAAGAAGGAAACGGAGAAGGTAAGGTAAACAAGGAATTTCACCCCTAAATTTTAATAGTAACACAAATTTCCACAATCATTCATGAAATGGAAATGCATATGTTTTTTCTCACTTTCTCACCAATAAATAACAAATCTTTTCCATCATGTATAACATTTATCTATATGTTGCAAATAATCTCCTTTGATAATACATCAGATATGAATAAGTCAGTCATTTACAGAAGGAGTCTCTCTGGTTTTTTCTGATTACTTGCTAATGCTATTCCTATGTTGGTGGCAAAAGGTGGACCCGAAACCAGTTTGTTATCTGGTACAACCCCTTGTTGCTTCTTCAACCTTCTAGTGGTTAGGAAGGCAAGTGAAAGACTTGTTACACCTTATGTTCTTGGCAGAACTGGTGTCTCCTCTATTTGAATATTTGTTAAACTGACTCAGAAGGATATCATCCAACTATATAGTCTAGCTAGGAGGTCTACTGAAGTACAGATCTCAATCACGTACAGTGATTGTAGAATCATGAAGTTGGAAGGGTCCTAAAAGGCCATTGAGTCCAAACCTCTTGCTCAGTAAAGGAATACAAATCAAAGGATATCTGCCAAGTGGTTGTCTAAATTTCTCTTGATTGGCTCCAGTGTTAAAGCACTCACCAACTCTTGAGGTAACTGGTTCCACTGTCTTACTGCTCTAAAAGTTAGACTGTTTTTCCTGATACTGTATTCAGCTGAAATCTGGCTTCCTTTAACTTGAGCCCATCGTTGTGTGTCCTGCACTCTAAGATGACTGAGAGCAGATCTTGGCCCTCCTCTGTATGACAGCCTTTCAAATATTCGAAAAGTGCTACCATATCACCCTTCAGTCTTCTTTTCTCAAGTCTAAACATGCCCAGTTCTTCCAGTCTTTCCTCATAGGGCTTGTTTTCCAGTCCCCTGATCATCCTTGATGCCCTCTTCGGAACTTATTCAAATTTGTCAGTGCCCTTCTTGAAGTGTGATTTCCAGTACTGGACAAAGTACTTAAGATGAGGCCGAACCAGTGCCGAATAGAGGGAAACTAGTACCTCATAGGATTTGGAGACTATACTTCTATTAACACAGCCTAAAATAGCATTTGCCTTTACGGTGTGGTGCTCACACGGGTGTGCTAGAGTGCGCACACAGCTGCAAACGGGCTGTGTGGGGGTGAGTGTGTGCGGGGGGGGTGAGGTCTGTCTTGGCGGCCTGGTCCGGCTCAGGCCACAGACTGGACCGGGCCACGGACCGGGGGTGGGGATCTCAACCAATAGCCTTCAATTACAGCTCTCAACCAAGGCCAATCTTAAGATAAAGATTGTTCTGAATAAGTAGTGTATGTAGTTTCTTTTAAAAAGTACTTATATATCTTAAAATTTTTATAACATTTGTAGTGTTTATAATGTCAGCTTCAAAATTAGGCTAAATTCTAATGACTTTTAGCCACAATGAATTACATCAAATTGGAAACTGAAAAAGAATCACAATCTAAAGCTATTTTCAGAGATACAACCACATTAGTCTGCTTCAGAAATAACAAAAAGAAAAGCAAAAATATTGTTTCGTTTGTTTAAAATATTTTTACCCTGCCTTTCTCCTTAAACAGGACCCAAGGTGGCTTATATCATTACTCTGAAGCTTGAAAATTATTTCTGCATGAGAGTGTATGTACTATCCATTTCTTCAGACACCTGCAATACCAAAAGTGGACTGTTGCTATTTCAGTTTCAGAGTTAGTGGCAAAACAATCAGGACAATAACATGTTCATCCACCCCTAAGGCTTGAACATACAATATTTCTCTGAGGATGCTAACCAACTGTTGACGTTGATGCCATCCTGCCCCACCCCCCAGTTACTTCACAGAAGTTGAGCAGGCTGAGCTAAATAAAATATAACTGGAAGATATTGGTTATTAAAATATTTGATGTGCTTTAAGCAGTCGTAAGATCGAATCCACACGACAGAGTGAGCTCCTGTTGCCTGTCCCAGCTCCTGCCAACCTAGCGGTTCGAAAGCATGCAAATGCGAGTAGATAAATAGGTTCCACCCCGGTGGGAAGGTAACGGTGTTCCCTGTCTAGTCATGCTGGCCACATGGCAATGGAAACTGTCTTTGGACAAACGCTGGCTCTACGGCTTGGAAACGGGGATGAGCACCATGCCCTAGAGTCGGACACAATTGGACTAAAAATGTCAAGGGGAACCTTTACCTTTTAAATGAACAGTAGCTTTTGAATTAGGTCGTTAGGAGGTTTGGGCTGAGGAGTCAGCAATATGCTGACGACACCCAGCTCTACCTCTCATTTTCTACCAATCCAGGTGTGGCAGTCACCGTTCTGAACTCGTGCCTGGACTCGATAATGGTCTGGATGAGGGTCAATAAACTGAGGCTCAATCCAGACAAGTCTGAAGTGCTGCTGGTAGGTGCCCCGCCAGATAGGTTAAAGGGCCATCTCCCTACCTTAGACGGGATCACACTCCCCCTAAAGGATAGGGTCCGCAGCTTGGGGGTGCTCCTTGACCCCAGTCTGACCTTGGAAGCCCAGGTGGACTCGGTGTCCAGGGGTGCCTTCTTACAGCTGCGGAGAATATATCAACTTCGCCCTTACCTGGATGAGCGGAGCCTGGC